CTGTCTGGACTTCTCCCCGCCGTCCTCGGCCGCAGTCCCGCGCTGGCCTGCTGCTGCTCCTCCTCCTGCACGTGTGCCTCGTCCTCCTGCCACGGCCGGGCCCCGTACGGAAGAGCAGCCCTCGAGAATTGAGCAGGGACCGACCGTCCCGGCATTCCTGGGAGGTTACCTGCGACCCTGGAGGCTCGGGCGGCTGAAACATTTAGAACATTTAACCAGGCCTGATGAGTCGCATGAGTCACAAAAACCATGTTCTTAGAACAGAAACCCGATGTGAATAAAACAAGACAAAATCAGAAGTGTTCTAAGAACAGTTTGTGGACACCGCGCAAGGTTCTTAGAACATTGCTTGGTAGGGCCATACGCGAGCCAGGACGCTTCGCCACTGCTTGAGAGAGCCAGGAGCCCCTCCGCCGGCCAAGACCCACAGGACGTCCAGGGGCACCCTGCCCAGGATGCACACGAGCACCCAACGAGCACGAAGACCACTGGGCCCCCCCCCCCCGAACCAGCCTCGATCCTACGCCTCGGTCCGGCGGTGGGCGTGCCGGGATGGGCGCAGCGCAACTATGCGAACTTTCGGTGGCAACTCACGGGAGCCTCCCACACCGTCTGGTCGGCCCTTGCGCATCGGCGTTCATCGACGCGAAATCGACGCTACATCGAAGCTCATCGACGCTAGCCGACGCTAAAACAGCGCTACCTCGCCGACTTCCAGACGCTCATCGACGCTATTATCGACGCTGAGGACGGAGAAATAAGAGGGTATACCAGGCTCCCATGGTTTGCTACCGAACGAACTGGCCCACTGGGGCCGTGGGCGTGGTTCCTGTGAGGGGGTCCAGGGACACACACACATAAATACACGCAAATCCCAGGATTCCCATTTTATTTTATAGTTTTTGGATATTCGTTTCCCCCCCCCCCTTCCCACATTTTCGATATCGACAATTCATTGTGTCTGTCTGTTTCCCCTCCTGATCCTGGAGCGGCACGATCCGCGTGAGGGGTGCGCCAACATTGGCGCGTCGCCGCCCTGCGGACTGCCCCATGGACGCCGTGGGCGGAACTCTCTATTGCTAGGTCGGGCATGTCCCCCTACAAGGGGATTTTGGACGGAAAATTGAAAAATACAACAACAAAAAATCCCCAAATGCTCAAAAAATAAACCCACACTATCGTTTGACTATTTTTGGATATTCCTCCTATAGACTATAGAGGGGCCAGGCCCCGCTTAACCCTATTGGGTTAGGGGCACCGCCGTGCCAACTGGCCAATCGAGGCCGTGTTCAGAGGGAGCTCCGTGCTGAGCAAGAAATGCCCGAGGGGTGTGGCGAAATGGGCGTTGGGCGGCATACGCAGAGGCCTCCTGGATGGGGTTCGGGGGGTCGCGCCGCATCGCCCATGCATCGCCGATGTGTCGGCGATGCATCGGCGATGTATCAGCAACGCACCAGCGAAGTCGGCGGTGCACCGGCGACGTCGACGTGGTGAAAATCTTACTACGCTTCGAGCCGCATCGCCGATGCATCAGCGATGCGGCGCGATCCGTGCTCCGACCTCATCTAGGCCTAGAATACGTCCGCAACGGCTGGGGCTGTAATTAATCGCGTGGACCTTCCGACCCGCGAACGCCGTGTCGAATTCGGTGCAACACCGACATGTGGACGCGGGCACTGGGACAGCAAATGAAGCTCCCATGGGGCACGATCCGTGGAAGCGGTGCCGACGTGCCGGCGCCCTCACTGGCGCCGCGGGCGGAACACCCCTGCGGGGGCAAAGAGCACGTCAGGGGTGCGCCGGACGCCAGCGCGGCGGCGCCACGCAATGGGGGCCGCAGGCAGAGCTCCCAGCGGGGCCAAGAAGCAAGCGAGGGGGTGCAGGAGGAGGAGGAGGAGGAGGAGGAGGAGACGTCTCTCTCTCTCTCTCTCTCTCTCTTCCCATGAAGGGCAAATCCCGCCAGCAGTTCCAAGGAAAATCGGCCCTGGGTTGGGGGAAAATATCAATACATTCCCACCCCTCTCTGGTGATTCTGCAAGCCTGCAAGGGCTGATGCCCGTAGACTGGGGCCAGCGCGGGGGTGCGGCACTACGCCGAAAGGCCTTTCACTCCGGGAGGAGGAGGAGGAGGAGGAGGAGGAGGAGGAGGAGGAGGAGGAGGAGGAGGAGGAGGAGGGAGGAGGAGGGAGGAGGGAGGAGGGAGGAGGGAGGAGGCCGGAGAGTAGGTGATGGTCTACAGAACTGTTGTACACCCGAATGAACTCTCACGTGGAATCGATGAAAGCCTGCGTCGAACTTTCGTGGGTCTACCACAGGTCTGCGCATTTCTCATGGGTCCGAAAAGAAAAACGACTCTGGGGTAAATCAATGCTGCAGTCGATCCCGTACTCGAGCCATGCGCGCGCGAGCCCCCACTGGGCCAGTATGTGGAGCTCCCTGTGGAGGCAGAAAGCGTGTGATGGGTCTGCCGAATTGGCCCCGCGCTGGGCACCCTATGGGGACAGGAACGGTATCAGGGTGTGCCGAAACAGACCCAGCGCCGCCATACGAACGCCCTTACAGGGGCTGCAAGTGACGACGACGCCAGGACAAAAACAAAATCGGGCGATGATAAAATGAGAATCTCTGCGATCCGGCAGCTCTGGAGGATGTCTCGGGCGCCACGGCCTTCTCAGAACGTTCCGGAAAACTCTGGGAGTGTTCCGGAACGCTCTGGAACGGATTGATCCTCGTCCTAGCCCCGTCAGACAAGTGGAGCTCCCAATGGGGGCGAAAATCGTGAGGAGTGCGACGAATCGGGCGCGGTGCCGCCATGCGAACGCCCTCAGTGGTGCCGTAGGTGAAACTCCCTGGGAGTTCAGAACACGTGTGAGGGGCGTGTCGAATTGTCGCGGTGCCGCCATGCGAACGCCCTAAATGGGGCAGTTAGTGAAACCCCCGATGGGGGCAGGAAGCGTGTGAGGGGTGTGCCGGATCGGGCGCGGTGCTACCCTGCGAAAGCCCTCATTTGTGCCGTATGACAACGTTGGAGGGCTGTGCCGAATTGGGCGCGCTGTCGCCCATGCGAACACCCTCGCTGGGGCCGTAGGTGGAGCTCCCAACGGAGGGGCAAGGAACGTGCGATGGGGTGTTCAGACACGGACATGCGGAAGGAGAGCAGAGGCAGGCTCGGGTCGGATCCGATCGGACCGCTGGTGTGGGCAAACGCTCGGGCCCCTTGAAGGGCGAACGTCGCATGACAACTGCGCGCGCGCCGGGCGCCGACTCAGGGAGAGGTAGAATTCACGAACAAGTGGTCCAACTTTTCCCACTCCTTTATTGCAGCCGGTTGTAGCGGCAGGGCGAGAAGAATGAGGAGTAGGATGTGAGGTGCGGAAGCTGGCGGCGCTGTGGATTCAAGGCGAGGGCCAAACTCCACACGATGCCTCGGGGAAACACACATGCAAGACGCAGGACCTTTCCGATATATTCCCTTCGACTACTCTCTCTCTCTCTATTTCTCTCTGGATCGTTCGACAACTCGTCTTATTGGATCTGATGTTATGCACCATTGAACTGCGTTTCAATATGCCTCACGATGCTTGAGAGCCGGATCGTCCCTGCCATTACTCCAAAAGTCTTTTGGATCTCAAAGTCACATGCCCCTAGCGCGAAGCGTTGTTGGCAACCATCCTGTGTCGTTGGATCATCATATTGAACCTTCCTCACCTCAACTTACCTTCTCCTCTTCCTCCTCCTCCTCCTCAACCTCCTCCTTCCTCCGTCTCCCCATCTCGGCGCAACCCTCACACGCTTCGTGCCCACAAAAAGGGGGGCGTTCACATGCCCCCCCCTGCTAATTCTGGCATGCCACTCACGCGGATCGCTGCACCATTTGGAATTCCAAATGGGTCGCTCACGTGCATCCCCTCGAACATTCCGGCACATCCCTCGCGCGGATCGTGACCCCCTACGGACCCAATGAGGGCGTCCGCGTGCGTCTCCACGCTCATTTCGTCCCCACGTTCTCCTAGTCGGCCTCCCTTCGGGAAGTCCTCCTCTGGCGGCCCGCGTCTCCCGGCACCCAAGCGCGAACGGCTGATGACCGCAGGTGTCCAGATCCAGCCTCGTCCTCATATTTCCTCCTTCTCTCTCTTTTCTCCTCTCTCCTCTCTCCTCTCTCCTCCTTCGCCGCCTCCTCCTCTTCCTCTTCCCCCTCTTGCTGGCCATCCAACTCCAAGTCCGATTCAATTCGGTCCCCCGTCGCCATGACGTTCCCGAGCAAGGCCTGCACGCACTCGTCCTTGGCCTTATCGTCCTCCCATGGCGCAGAGCTCTTGGGAGCGGCGGCGGCGGCAAAGGCGGCAATCGCGCGATGCAGAGCGTCCTTGGCCGTGGCGTCATCCAGGGCCGCAGGGCTCGCGGCGGCGGCGGCGGCGGCGGCGGCGACAGGGCGACCGAGCTCGTCCCACGAACGAGCTGCGGAGCGTCTGCGGACCGACCTGCCCGGGCGCCCTGCTGCATTCTCCTTCGAGCCGTCTGCCTCCTCGCCATCGCTCGGACGTCCATTCCCTGTGTTTTTTTGCGGTTTCGTGCGTGGTTGTTTCGCCAAATGGTCAAGGATGCTCCTCGATGGCCCTCGCCGACGGAAAAATGCACACGTCCGAGCGATGCCAAGCCTCGGGAAGCAAGGGCTCCCAACCTCGCGCCGCGCGCTGCGCGAGAGCGCGAGTTGACTTCGCGCTCCCGCGCCGCCTCCCAGGGGGCGAAGGGGAGGGCGAGGAGGCATCGGAACCCAACGGCGAAGCGCGAAGAACCTCGCGCCCCGCGATGCTGCGGCCGGGGAATCGCTCCTGCCAGGGGCCCTGCGTCTCACCGAGCGGGTGGGCCGACCTGGCCGCTCGTGCACACCGCGCGCGACCCATCGGGAACTAGCCCTGTCTAAACACAAGGCCTGCAGGAAGGCTCAGGAACCGAAACGAACCGGCCGAACCGAAGCGGGCCCCAATATGCCACTTCCGCGATCCCGTACCCAGTGAGCGCCAAGGTTTGGCCCCCGTTGCACCCCACGCAAGATGTCTCAAGGCTGGGGACGGATATCGTTATCTTGCCGCCTTTGCGCGCCCTCTGGGACCATACATTGTCTCCTGACTCTTCCCTCGGCGCGAAATTTGCACCATGTGAAAGATCGCCTTATTGGAGGGCTGTCTGGGGCGAACATGGAGTACTGCAACGTGGAGATCGTCGGTCCTATTCCTCTTCATCCCGAAATTGCGGGTGCATCGCCTTGTTTGTGGAGGTGAGGGTGGTTGTCGCCAGTGCCCCTGATTTGTGCAACCCAGCGCTTTCCCCAGGCACCCTCTGAAGTTGCACCAAGACGCCCAACATCCCGAGATGCCCATCGCGACCAGATGTCCCTTCCCGCGGGAGGAGGAGGAGGAGGAGGAGGAGGAGGAGGAGGAGGAGGAGAGGAGGAGGAGGAGGAGGAGGAGGAGGAGAACGAGGAGGAGAACGAGGAGGAGGAGGAGGGGATCGAGGAGGAGGAGGAGGCGGAGAAGGGGGAGGAGGAGGAGGAGGAGGAGGAGGAGGAGGAGAAGGAGGAGGAGGAGGAGGAGCAGGAAGAAGACGGAGGAGGAGGAGGAGGAAGAAGAAGAAGAAGAAGAAGAAGAAGAAGACCCGGCCTTGCCTGTGGTCTGAGCCTGACCTCTGGCGAATCGAGCCCTTCGCTCGACTCAACGCCAACCTCTCACAGCCGCATCGTGCCGTGCCCATCCGAGGTGGGGGTTACACGCACCCCAAACCTCCGACGTCATGATTTTTTCATGACGCGACCCCCAGAGATCTGGACCCACTCCCCGGGACCGGTTTTTCATCCTGAGTCGTTATTTGACGGTCCCGAGGCCCGGGAAGGGCCCCCAGAGGCCGAAAATAGCGACAAACTTCCCGTCGTGATTTCTTCACGACTCGAGGGGGTCTGGGACCGTGCAGCCTCTGGGGGACTCCGCCCTCGAGACCGTCCAGAGCGCAGGGCGCCTCTCGGCCCGGGCCGCCTCACGGACCCGCCAGGACTCCCGGGAGCCTCGGGCGCGCGGCCTCGGCGGCGCAGGGCGGCGCGGCAGGCTCCGTGGCGCGGCGCGCCGACGCCGACGCCGACACCGACGCCGACGACGACGACGACGACGCCGACGGCGACGACGACGCCGACGCCGACGACGACGAAGACGTCGACGCCGACTACGACGACGACGACGACGACGACGACGTCGACGCTGACGCCGACGCCGACGACGACGCCGACGCCGACGCTGACGCCGACGCCGACGACGACGCCGACGTCGACGCCGACGACGACGCCGACGACGACGCCGACGTCGACGCCGACGACGACGTCGACGCCGACGCTGACGCCGACGCCGCCGACGACGACGTCGACGACGACGCCGACGACGACGCCGACGCCGACGACCGCTTGGTGGCGCCTCGTGCGCTGGCTGGGCCCGCCGAGGTTGCGCCCGGTAGGCGCCCGTGAGGGCACCGCGCGCTGGCCGAGGCCGCCGAGGCGTCGCCCGGTGGGCGCCCCTGCGGAGGCCGGCCGCGCCGAGGTTTCGCCCGGTGGGCGCCCGTGGGGGCACGCGTGGGGTCCACGATTGACTGTACAGCATACAGTCGGGGCGCTGAAGAAGGAACCCTTTTCGTTAGGGAGGTGCTCCGTGTTCCTTCATTGTTCCACAGTGTGCCTTGGGTTTTCTTCAAGTTTTCGATGAGAAGTCGAAGCTTAACTTAGGAAAGGAAAGGGGCTTCGTTCCTTATTTAGGGTTCCTTAGGTCTACGCCTCGACTGTAGCTTGCACCACATCGCGTGCGCCGAATCGACTGCACCGCAGCTGGCATCACGCATGTTGCGACACCACATGGCCTGCACAGCACAGACTTCACCAATGGGCTGTAATCACTGGATGTGTTGGGCTCAAGCTGGCAGTCATCCGATCTTCTGGTTGTGTGGGTCGTCACTGTGATGTGTCGGTCGTGTTCTGACTACCGCATGCTCCGTGTGGTGTACTTGTTCTTGGTCATTGTCCACATTTCGGCATGCATCCTCCGCCAATGCTTCTCGCTTATTCTGGCAACACTGCTCTCACATCTCGCTGATGCAACCCAGGACAGCCTCGGGCGTATGACGTGGCACGACGGTATCTGGTAACCAACCTGTGCCATACGCAACGACACGGGCATTGAGGACTGGAGGCAGCGGTGCAACGCTGATGTCACTCCCCCGCCTCCCTCCACGGTCAACTCTTCGCACCCATCCCTCGCGCCCCCCTCCTCTGCGCCATCCTTGTCGCTCTCCTTTTCCTATTTTGCTCCTCCTGTCGTTCTGTGCGTTTTCGTCCCGCTGCCCCTCCGCTTCCTTTCCTCCCTGCCATGGTGGCGGCAGTGGCGCCCGCAGCGCTGCAGAAAGGCTCCTCGCCGAGCGCGTCGACCAACGCTGACAAGCACTCCTGCCTGGACTTCTCCCCGCCGTCCTCGGCCGCAGCCCGTTGCTGGCCTGCTGCTCCTCCTCCTGCACGTGCTCCTCCACGTCCTCCTAAAGCTCTTCCTCCTCCCGGTCCTCCGCTTCCCCATGCGCTCCCTCTCCCGTTGTCGCTGCCTCCCCTCTCCTGGCTACCCTGAAGGGGCCCTGGGACACACAAATAAATACACACAAATAACAGGATTCCCCATCTTTTCCCATATGTTCTAAGTTTTTTTCCACCCCCCACTTCCCATAGTTTCCCATATTTTCTGGGGAATCGTCGATTAATTGTGTCTGTGTGTGTTTTGTTCCCTCCTGATATCCTCCCGTTGCCATTTCCACATCTTGCAACGCTGCCCAGCCCCAAGTGTTCTCTGTTTTACGCATCATGATATGTCCGAGCCACGCAGCCAAGGTCCCATTTGTATCATGACATGTCGCACATGTGCGACAAGTCTGAACGTTTTGGTCGCGTCGGCGGAAACTCTGGGGTTGAGTCTGGGTACCTGCGGTTTCTTGGAATTTCACGGGTGTGCGCATCCTCCTCCTCCTCCTCCTCAGGATGCCCATCGTCCACCTCTCGCGCCCTCCATTTTCCCCTTCTCAAGAACTCCTCCCTGCCGCACCCGATGGCCAGTCGGAATGGCGAGCCAGGCGTTTCGCCTGAGAATCCATTTTCATGTATGATGCTGAAGCTTAACAATTTGGCAGCAGCTTCATAGATGGAGGACGGGCCGCTTCGAACATGTGGCTCTCACACTAGCGCCACGCACGCTCGTCCTAAAAACATGTCAGTTTTACGGATTGAGGGCGGGCCGTTTTAAACATGTGGTTCTCGCTTTAGCGCCGCGCACATTCGTCACGCAATGTGCAAGAGTTTCACGGACTGTGGGCTGGTCATTGTCAAAACGTGGCTCTCTCCTGAGAGCCGCCGCGCACATTCGTTTCAACAACCTGCAAACAACATCGCGGACTGAGGGCGGTTCCTTCACGAAATGTTGCCCTCGGCTTCAAGCCGCGCACATTCGTTTCAAATGGATGCAAGGGGTTCGCGGATTCCCTTGGCCAACGTACCAGGACTTTCGTTTTGGAGCGGTTGGGAACTGTCAAGAAGCAACAGTTGCGTTGATCCGCGGTTTTGCAGTCCCAGGAATGGTATTCTGGCGCGGTTCAGGATCGTCAAGACGCAACAGTCAAGATGATTGGTGGCGTTTGGGGGCCCGGGAATGGTGTTTGGCACGCTTCAGGATCTTCCAACATTTGCCGCACAACGGGGCACTTCTTCTAGGAGCCTACCAAGGGAGAGCTTGGACGGAGTCGGGTTTTTGTTGGTCTTCTTCCTGTTCCTCCTCTTCTTCCTTCTCCCGCACTGCCCCGTAGGGACTCGCGACTCGCACTCACGAGGTAGCGAGCCTCTCTTACTGTGCCTCCTCGGAGCTCCTTCGAGCATCGAGGTACGCCGCCTGCCGGCCTCATGAGAAGTCTGGGTCTGCGGCGAACTTTACTCGCAGGGGATTTTGCATGTCCTACCCCACAGGTCCTTTCCGGGCGTTTCGACGTTGGCCCCTCATGCGGATGTCCTGTCCTGTCCTGTCTCCCGCCTCTTCCTCCACGCCCCACGTCGCAACTACCCTCGTGCTCCTGGCTCTCCTCCGCCCCCCTCTGGGACACGGGCCTCCTGCGCTCTCGCGCGCAGGGCTGCCGACCTGCCACCCGTGCCGGGGACCACGGGCCGCACGATGAAACGACTACTTGGCGCATCCCTGAGCCGGCACTGCTCCAAGGTGTTCCCCCTTACTCCTCCTCACCCCTCCCTGTCTTGCCAACCCCTGCCAATAATCCCGCATCCCGTTTCCCCCTCCGTGACCCCCTCAGTATCCTCCTCATCGCCATCCCTCCAAAACAACCAGCATGGTCACGTGCCCTGCCGGGGGTTCAACTTCGAGTTCGTCAAGCATGCTTTGCGCTTGCCTGCCGATTGGCCTGCGCCTTCCCCAATTGTGCACGTGGGAACAGGGTGGGATGGGGGTCACGGACTTGTATGCGAGAGGCCTGGCAACATGTTAAGCTCTCCTGAACTCCACCTCCCAAGAGCAATCATGAATGCCAGCCAACGTGGGCCCCAAAAAAGTCGGCGTTTACATCATCGATGTTAAACACGTGCGCTACAATCTGAGTCATGTGCTACGTGTAGTATGCAAAAATATATGCAGCCAGCTGTAAGTGACCACTGTGTGGTGGGGCAGTGCATGGGGTGGAATATATGTGTCAGGGGGACGTAAGACCTGGGTACAGGGGACTCGGAAATCCCCGACGAGGTCGTCAAAAAAATGACGAGGCCGAGCCTGCATTTTGACGAGGCCTCCCGCTGCAGACATCCCACGAAACTCCTCCTCGTCAAAATCCGAGGCGCGGTCGTCAAAAAACGGTGGCGAACCCGAGTCCCGGCAAATCCGGGTCTTACGCTCCCCAGAAATTGGATCAGCGTGGGCTGGGCCCCGCTAGCCGATTTACCCCACCAGATTGGAATATAGGCCGTATCCTTCGGGCTTCGACGGGCGTATCCCCAACTGGGGGTGTAATTTGGGGGGGGTCTCGAATGGGATGAGCATGGGGACGGGGATCGGTGATACGATACTGAGGACCGAATCGGAACCGGAATCCATCGAGATCCAACCGAATCGGAGGAATCGAAGTGACCCCTGGCTATGCGGCCGCCGCATTGCGGCGCACGGGGCTTCCGCGAGGCGCCCCCCAGCCGAACCTCGTCGTCGTCGTCGTCGTCGTCGTCGTCCTCGTCGTCGTCGTCGTCGTCGTCGTCGTCGTCGTCCTCGTCGTCGTCGCTGGGCGCCCACGAGGCGCCCACGAGGCGCCCAGGGCCGTGGGTGCCAACGAGGCGCTGACTACCTAGCAAGCCACCCCGATACAACCAGCAGACCCAAATTGCGGGTTGGGGGGGGGGACGGGTTCCACATGCGTTTCTCAAGGGTGGGTCAGGTTACTTTGATGGGTGGTGAGATGCAAGGTATGTTGTGGCAACTTTACAGATGTAACTACATATATTTATACACTTGTACAGACACAAATATAAATTATGCCAAAGAAAAGCCCCAATCAATGGATGGTTCTCGCTGAAGAGATCGACCGGAAACCTTGGAACCCCGGAGCCAAGAACCCACCGAAATCAGCCCCGAACCAACAACTGAGGACCCTGGAACCTGGACCCGGGAACCCGGGAACCCAGCCTGCTACCAAAATCTGCAGGAAACTTTCGCCAAGTCTACAAACTTCTGCTAGCACCCCTTCAAGGCAAGCGCTGATTCGGGAATAGGTATACAAAAATGTGGTGGAAGCTGTTTAGTACAAACTATGTGGTACCATTCGTTTTGGTAGATCATGGGTTGCCATCTCCACCGCCCGCGTCAGCATCCCATCCTCCCTCCCACAACCAATGTTGCAAACCCCAATGTGTGCGGTGACTGTTTGGCAATTTCTGGCGCATTTCTGCGGCCACGATGGCGCGCACAAGCTCGCGCGCAGAGCGGCCAATGGAAGTGGAACAACAGATGAAGCAGCGATGGCGGGTAATGGTGTGAACTCCACGGCGCGTCTCACAAGTCGCGCTGGCACTTCAGTGCGGGTCGATGGTTCGGGCGGCAACAGCGGCTACGATGATGACAATATCGATGGTGGTGGCGATGGTGACGATGACGACGGCAAGGCCAATGACGGCGCCGATGCTGGTGACGACGCGATGGCAGCAGCAATGGCGGCAATTGACGATGACGATACCGGCGGTGATGCAATGGTTCTGCTGAGGGTGATGGTACTGAAATTCATAGATTTCGAAGAATGCTGGGAGACTCCCTGTTGACAAACACTTCGTTTGTCATATGTGTCTGTGGATGGATCCATCAAGTATTCTTTCAACACACGACCCCTTTGAATGGAGTTCCACATGCGCACATGGCGGCGCGCGCGTGGCCCGCATGGTATCGCTTGATGCGGAATTGCTCACAGGGCGCATGATCGATCAAGCTGCACCGCGTGGAGGGACGACAATGAGGGGTCCTGGGCGAAATCATTTAACTCATATGTTTTCCTCGGGGGTAAACAAGTGCGCGCTGGCAGACCATCTGCAAAGTTAGAGGAAGTACCAGACTTGCACATTGATGTTTCTAGGTAGGTCGACACGCTTGCAACACGAATGTGACTGGCACGATTCGTTATGTGCGCACGCGCGTGGACTTTGTGGTATTTCCCCGAAGGGGCTCATGAGCAATAACCTCTTGTGGTAGACGAATACGCGCGCAGCTCATTATTTGACAAGGGTGAGGGGCAGGGGTAATCATCTGGTTGATTTGGGATGGCGCTCGTCGACCTTGAGGACGGGCGGCAATGCATACGACATATGAACAAATCAACACAGGGGCAGGGTGGTAGTAGAGTGTATCTTTCTCTAGAAGAAGAGAAAACACATTCTCGAACGCGAAAGATACCCGCACCCTTACCCAGGCGGGGTGGCACAGGGCGGGGTGAGCGACGCTCCGCAGCCGACGGCGGTTGCACAATGGCAGATGCGACGGCCCATGGGACATTGCAGGGCGCTGTCTTCTCCGGGCACCCGCTGGCACCGAAGGCGCGGGCGTTCCAAGCTCGTTCGGAGGTGCGCCCACGAAGGCGCGCAATCAAACGTTTGGGGCTCGACGCGCAAATGGCGCCCTGGGTGTCATGGGAGAGCGCCGCTGCAATCCCGCGCTCGCCCCGAGCGCCTGGGGCCCCGAACGCCAGACGCGGTCGCCAAGGGCTGCCCCCTGGAAAACCGGCCTGGCGTCGCACCAGCCAGGTCCGGGCACGTGTCGGGGGGCGCAGTCATCGACGCGCGTTGATGGTGCCCCCGGACACGTGCCCGCACCTAGCGGCGCCTGGCCGAAGTCGCTCTCGGGCGGGCGCGCAGCCCCCGAGAGCGCCCCCGAACGCGGCAGCAGCGGCTCCCGGCGGAATGCGAGA